GGCCAGCTCCCGTTATCGTACAGGGCCCGGGGCGCAACCTCGGTTCCGCTCCACCGCCCCACCTCTGCATCGGGCACCCGTTGCTGGCATGTACCCAGGCCCCCGGGCCCGGGGAACGCCCCCAGCGAGCGAGCCGCCCACCGGCAAGGGACCGGGCCACACACAGCCACCGATAAACGAGCCTCCGTCGCGGGTCATCTGCGGACACGGCACGGGTGGTCCGTCCCCGCGCCCCGCCCAGGCGAAGCCTCCATCCCCTCTCGTGACCCGCCCCCGCCTGCCCCGGCCTCCGGCCTCGGGCGAGAAGTGCCCGCCCACAAAGCGGGGGGCGGGGGGCAGCGCGATCGGGAGTCCCAACACGGCGCGCTGGGGTCGTGCCATTGCCCCTCCAGGCCCAAGAGCATGCTGGGGCACCCCACACCGGTGCCTCGGGCCCGGGCGATGGGCCGGGACAGGGAGAGGGGGAGGGGCCAGCAGCCGGGGCGGAGGAGAGGCAACCGGCGATCGGCCATATCCAACAGATGGGCCCCCCCTCTGCCAGGGCCGCGGGGTCGGGTCGTGCATCTTCGGCCCATCCCCTCGCTGCCTCCCCCACGACCCCTCTCCCCTTTCGCCCCTCCTCCACTCGCTCCTCCACCCCCCCCCCCCCCGCCCATGGTAACACACCCACACCCATATACCACCCGGCTGCCCTTCGTCTCGCGCACTCTCCACTCCCCCCTTCCACGTGTCCCCGTCCTCGTGCGCCGGAGGTCTGTCCCCCTCCTCCCAGCCGGGGAGAAGGCCCACCTGCCACATGCAACCCGCTGCGCCCCCCTGCTCGCCGTGCACCTTGCGGCTTGAGATCTCGAACTCGCGCGGGGACATCGGGCCACCAGTCACCCCGGCCTCCCAGGCGCCGACTCCCTCCTGCCCGGATGACCGCCAGGAGCCCCCTGGGCCGGGCCAGCAGCACCGGCAGCCGCGGCAATCGCAAGGATGTCACCAGCACCAACAGCCACAGCAGCAGCCACAGCCACAGCCACAGCCACAGCACTCGGATCAGGCCGGCTCGCCGGAGCAGCCGACCCTGACCGTGACACTGGTGCACCCGCTGAAAGCCCACCCAGGCTTGAGCCCGGTCCGGTCGGTGCTGCCTTTGACACCGACATCGGCCTGCCTGCCGGATCCCCCGCCTGGCGAGGGGACGCCCCTGCTGGAGTGGCCCACAGCCGGCCGCCGCCGGAGTACCGACCCCACCCCTCTGGGCACCGCCTCCCTGACGGCCGGCCTGATGGCCGACGACACCCCGCCGGCCGCCGGCGGCAATAGCCCCCAAGCCGGATGTCTGGCAGATCTCCCGGACAAAGACGACGAGCCGACCCAGTGGGAGTTACTCGACCACGAGGACTGTGCCCCGGCGACCGGGGCAGCCTCAACTCCAACGGCCCCGGCGCCGGCCTCGGGCCCGGCAATGACGCCCATGGCCACCGTCGGCTTGATGTCCCCGCCGCCATCGGCCGCACGCATGGGCTTCGCTTCTCCTCGAGATCTGTTCTCCCCGCAGGCACACTTCGGCGCCTGGGCCAGCCCCCAATTGGTGGATCTCCGCCCGAGGATGCTTCACTCGCCGCGGATTGCCGACATCCAGTCCCCTGTGGTCCCGCCGGTGGTACGCCTCCCTTCCCTTTCGCTGCTCCGCTGGCCACATGTCCATGTCTTGGGAGGGAGGGGGGGGGGGGGCCTGCTCGACCCGGGCCTGACTGACATCCACCCTCGTCCCGTCCCCCCACCCCTGAACCCCCCCCCTCTCGTCCCCCTCCACCGCCAACACCAACCCCCTTGGCCCTGCTGCTCATGTCGCCCTCCTTTCGATGACAGCAGCCCCAGCATCCGACCGAGGGCATGCTCTCGATTGCTCGCGCCCTGGGCCACACCTATGTCAGCGACTGCTTTGGGTTCCTGGTCGATCGGGACCACCTCCAGTGCACGTGCGACCAATTGGACGATGGCCCTTCGGTGGCTGCCGATGGCGAACACCGGCCCCACCGGCCGGCCGACTGCCGGCGGCATTCCGGCGCCTCCAGCTCGCCGACGCTGCCATTGGAGGCGGAGCTCTCTCCCGGGGCCGGCCGGCCGATGGTGCACCCCAGTTGCCAGTGCCCGGAGATCGACATCTGCCCCGTGCACTTTGCCCCGGACGATGCGCTGCTGCTGATGCTGCCGCTGTTGCATGCCCCGTGCGAACGGCACTGGTGCGAGGCCGGCCCCCGGTGCGAGTGCCCCTCGAGCCAGGAAGACTGTGCCTTGCGCCTGGCCGGGCCGACTGGCGCCCCGGCCGCCAACTGTCTACAGTGTGCGCGTGAAGCCCCGGCGGCCGGGATTCACTTGGACCGGCATCGCGCGGCCCTGGCCCCCGGGGCAGCCGGGCTACTTCGTGGCCTGGCAAGCCAGCCACGTCTCGGGTGCCGAGATGACGCCGGCTCGCACAGCTTCGAGCACTGGTGCCGGACTCCTGGGCGCCCGGGCGCCGGGGCCGGCGGCCTGTCTGGCAGGCCCGGAGACGATGGCGGCGGTCCCGGCGGCGGCCCCGGCGGCAGTGGCGCCCTTGGTGCCCCGGATGTTGGGGTTGCCTTCCCGGAGCACATGCCCGCCCCCTCGCTGATGCCGGATTTCCCCCTGACACAGGTCTTCCCCCAGGGATGTGGCTTCACGCCGCTCGGCCTGCGCTGGGTCCGGGCCTTGAAGCCAGGACAGTATGAGCGCCAATTTGCCGACTTCACCTTCCGCCCGGGCCAGCACCAGCTCCCCCGGATCCACGGGAAGGTGGTCCCGGGAGCCTCGCCATCCAGCTTCCTCAAAACCGCGTCCGTGGGCGCCGGGGCCGGTACCTCTGCCAGTCAGGACGAGCTCCTGGAACTGGTGCGCGTCATCCTCCAGGACATTCCGCGCACCTTCTCCACGCACCTGCTCTTCTTGGATCCCAGCGGGACATTGGCCACACGGGCTGGCTCTGCGGCCCCTGCGACTGGTGATGGCTGGGCCCCTGGGTCCTTTCCCTCCCTCTGGCAGCCACTCTTCAACCTGCTGGTGAGTTACATCCACCTGGACCTGGACACCGGCTACTGCCAGGGTGCGTGGGGGACATGCGCGCGCGCGCACACACACACACACACACACACACACACACACACACACACACACACACACACATCGTGCCCAAGCCGAGGGCCTCCTTGCCAGGCGAGCCTCCTCACCTCTGCATCGGTGAATTGCTGACTGCTTCCCCTGCCCCATGTGACGCCCTTCCCGCGGCTCAGGCATGTCATACCTGGCCGCAGTGCTGCTTCTTCACATGCCTGAGCAATATGCCTTCTGGTGCTTTGTGGCCCTTGTCACCAGTGACAAACACCTTGTCGGCTGTGCGTCCACGACGATGCGCCTGACGGTTCCGGGTGGTGTATTTGACTTTTGGCGGGTTGCATACTCTGTCTCGCTTCTCCCCTCCCCTGGCCTTTCTCTCCATTCATTAGTCTGCCAAGCTGCATATCCTTCTCCTTTGCCTCCTGCCCTCACCTGTTTCTCACATGCTCCCCCCCCCCCAAACTCGATCACTCGGGATTGGTCCTTCTCTTGCTCTCGCGACGTCGACCTGGCGGGTTAGTCTTCGACAAGAACCTCACCCAACTCCAGCTGAAGGCCCTGGTGTTTGAGCATGTCTTGACCGCCGTCGAGACCGAGCTGGCCCTGCATCTGGTACCCCCCCCCCATGCTGCTGATGACGCCCTCTTTTTTTTCCTCCCCTCCCTCCCCACGTGGCCTGCCACTGACCAGCCCTCCGGGCTTCCCGCTCCCCTCTCTTCCTTTCCAGTCCTCGCACCACATCAACCCTCTTATGTACATTGCCGGCTGGTTCATGCGTGCTTTCACCAACCTGCCCGACTGGCAGACATGCCTGTGGTGCTTCGATCGGATTGTCCTCGATGGTTGGGCCGGGCTCGTGGTCATCGCCGTGGCCGTCATGCAACGGTGCAAGTGTACGCATTCCCTCGCCCTGGTATCTTTCCCCTTGGCAACAGCTCCCCTCTCCTCCCCCTCCCCTGCCCTTCGCGCTGGGGACCTCCCCCTGGGTACCCGTGCTTGTGTGAGCTCTGCTGCGACATCTAGGCGATGATCAGACAGGGAGGGGGAGTAAGTGACACTCATGTGCCAGGATGGACTCCTTCCCTTCTACTCACACACACACACACACACATGCATTTGGATCCGGCACTCAGTCGACTTGTTGAATCTCCATTCGATCAATCAGCTCCTGCCATACTTGCACACACTGCAAACCGAGGAGGTGCATTGGCTGAACCTCCGTCGGGCCATGTCCCATCATCGCATTGACCTGTCCCTGGTGTATGAGACCAATGCCAGTCTGATGAGCTCCCCGATGCCGGCTTTCACCGAGAGCATGCTCCTGGCGACCGATTGCATGCCCTCGCCGGGGCCTCTGGGGTCGGCCCTTTCCCCGCGTAGCACCTTTCGCCAGTCGGTCAGTGTCTTCGATGCAGGGCCCCGCCTTCCGGCCCCGGCTCCGATGGCCATTGAGCGAACTTTCTTCGGTTCCTTGACATCGCTCTTTTCGGACACGCGCCCGGCCCCGCCGGCGAGTGATCAGCCCCCGGCAGCGGCCGCACCGCCTGAGACCCCGCGCCAGTCAGCCCCTCGGCCGGTGCCGCGCACCCTGCGTGTCGACACCGCCGCCGACGATCTGCCGCAGCACGCCGCCCATGCCCACCCTCAAACCGGGCTGTTCGATCGGCTCCTATCCTCGGCAACACCCCTATTTAAGCGCCTGGCCACGCCGTTCGGCAGCCGAGTGGAGACTCCACTAGAAACGCCAGCCGATGAGCTGGCTGCCAGCCCGGCATCGGGCCTGCCATCCGACGACCTGCCACTGGCGCCCGACTCGCCACCAGTGTCGCGGGTTCTCTTCGCCGCCGAAGGTGAGGGCATCGCCAATGGGACCGGCCTCGGCCCAAGGCGCCTGGCCGCGGTGGCCCGACAGCCTAGCTCCCTGCGCGATGTGACCACCCTTGACCTGACCACCGAGGAGGATGGGCTCTCTGGCTCGGAGCCGGAGCAGGCCGACGATGAGGACGATCCCGGGGAAAGTGACAGCCGGCCGGGGCCCGAGTCGCCCTCGCTGTTGCCCCCTTCCTCACATGCGCCCCTCAGCGTGGGCTCCTTCTCGGTGAGCCTGGGCGACCAGCAGCCAGCATCGCCCGGGAGGCGGCCCGAGGAGCGGGAGGAGGCTCCCCTGCTGCTGCTACAGCTGCCCGACCAGGCTGGCGACACGGCTGGCCAGTTGACATCAGTCCCGATCAGCCAGCGGCCACGCCAGCCAGCGGCCCCGCTGCAGGCGAACTACCTGCTCCGGCGTTAGAACACGAGGAGGCATTTCGTCGCACGGGCGTGGGGAGCCTATGCTTCGCTTTTTCCCCTCCTCCGCCATGGCGCGACATACTGGCCCGTGGCCCCTTCCTGTCCCTCCTGCGACACACTCGCACATGGCACCCAACTCTCCGCTTAGTTTCCCTGGAGAATGCACACGCGAGGCGCTGCCTTCCCCTGCTGCCCCCCCTCCCCCCCCCAATCATCCACCCCCAATTAGACATTCTACCGACACGCTTCGCTTGACAGGTCTGTGTGTGGGTGGGTGTGCCGGCTTCCCGGCTTCATTCCTCGCCTCCTGGGGGCTTTGTGGGTATCTCCCAAAAAGAAAGGGATCTCGGGAAAATGCCCGGGGGAGGGGGGCACCATCGAGCATGAAAACACCCACACGCCCAAACTGACAGGTAAAGAGAGAGAGAGAGAGAGAGAGAGGAAAGAGATGGATGTAAGGGTGTATTTTGAAAGAGGGTGCTGCTTCTGTCGTGAAAGAAAGACCCGGCAGGGGGAGAGGTTCGCCGGACGGACACATCGCGGGAGAAAAAGGCATTCGATGTGATTGGGCGCCAAGAGACCCCTGTTTTTCGAGCGAGAAGGCCCCAGGGGGGAGGGAGGGAGGGGGGAAGAAATATGGTACATCGTGGAGCCGCAAACTGTGTCCCTGAAACCCTCTAGCCTCAGGCCCCGGGCTGGAGGACGAGGAAGGAGAGCAGGAAAGAATGCGCTTTCGAGGGGTGCTGAGTCTGACCCCGGGGGGGGGGGGGGGGGAACCATTCAGGTAGAATGAACTGAAGAGCGTATTTATATATATATGGTAATGTGTGTGTGACGCGTGGGTGTGGGTGTGGGTGTGTGTGCGCGCGCACATCCGGCGACGGCGTGCCGATGCGGATGCGAGCTCCCCCCGCCGTCGCTGGCCTGTGTGGAGACAGGAGACAGGAGGGGAGTTTGTGCGTGCGCGGAATGAATGTCCCGGTCGCCGCCAAAAGACGAAGGGAGGGAGGCAGCGCAATCCCCATCACAAATGCAGAGGGAAAGAGGGAGCCCCGAGCCGCCCTCGCCCTGCGGGCGCACTGGCTGGCCAGCCCCCACAGCAAAAGTGGAGGGTGCAGGATCAGCGGCACCAGCGCGACATGTGTCCGCCGCCCCTTGCCCACCAACAAGGAGGGAGAGGGGGAGGGGATGCGCGAGGGGCAGGGAGGGGGGGGGGGAGGGGAGACTGGTCACGGAGCTACAGGACGCCCGCGCATGCGCGCAACACAGACCCCCATACAGACACACACACACACACATACATACAGACCCATAGAGACACACAGATCAGGGAGAAAGACTCATTCTTCAAGCGGGGAGGAGGAGAGAGGAGACTTAGAAGAGCTGGGTGGCCGAGACGTTCTGGCGCTTGCACTCGTTCAGCATGTCGATGTAGCTCTGGCACATGGAAATGTCGTTGCTGTAGGTCTGAGCGCAGCGGAGGAAGGCATCCTGCTCCAGGCTGCAGATCTGCACCGGGGGAGTGGCGCCGACGGTGGCCCCGGGCTGGGGCTGGTAGGAGAAGGCATCAGGAGCCGGGGCGGCGGCCGGAGCGGCAGCGGCCGTGGTGGCGGCCTCCGCAGCGGCAGACCCGCCACCGGTGAAGAGACCGGTCAGGGCATTGCCGACGGTGTGGCCGATGGCGACACCAGCCGCGGTGGTGGCAATGTTAGCCAGCATGCCGGGCTGCTGAGGGGCCTGCTGGTAGATGACCGGGGCCTGCTGGGGAGCGGCGGCCGGAACCGGGGCATGAGGGGCGGCGGGGGCGGCGTGCGGGGCAGCCGAGGCGGTGTTGTGGGGGGCAGCCGAGGCGGCAGGAGCAGCCGGGGCGGCGGCGGTCTTGGCCGACATCGCGGGCTTGGCCGCGGGGCGGGAGGCGGAGGAAGTACGGCGGCGGGCCATGGCGAAAAGGACTGACTAAGGGCTGAAGTGCGGGGGAGGAGGGGGGGGGAAACGCGAAGCGGATAAACTGTGTGGGGTGTGATAAACAGTTGATTGTCTTACCCGTCCGTTGGACTGGCGATTCTGGCAGTTTCTTAAATACTTCGGCTCGGGTTTGGTGGGCGGCCCGCATGCCCCCCC